ATAAGAACCCCAGAATGCACTGAAAAGTATGTGCAAACACAGTAATTATATAAAAAAACATTCAAGTTAGAATTCTGATAAACATAGACAACTAAGCTGATTTAAAAAAAAATAAATGTTTATTTTTATTTTTTTAAGAGAGAGAGAGAGAGACAGAGACAGACAGAGTGTGAACAGGGGAGGGGCAGAGAGAGAGGGAGGCACAGAATCCAAAGCAGGCCCCAGGCTCTGAGCTGTCAGCACAGACCCCAATGCAGGGCTCGAACTCATGAGCCATGAGATCATAACCTTAGCCGAAGTTGGAGGATGAACCTACTGAGCCACCCAGGTGCCCCATGCTGATTTGAAAGATGCCTTTCCTTCCCCTCAAACACTGATATCAAGGACACACCCAGGTACTAAATATTGCCAAAAAGCCCACAAGAGAGTAAAAGTCTGTATAGCCAGAGACTGGTGTTTTTATCACATGGGAATGGGATATCCAATAGCCATCTGAGAAAGGGAGCTAATTGAGCCAAGATCATAAACCATTAGGTCTCCAGAGGCAGTTTCGTGTGTACGAGATGGTGAAGGTTCATCTGTGAGTGTGTGAGTGAGAGATGAAGTCCCTGCAAGAAAACTGAAGCCAAATTCCATTGTGCATGGTTTTAAAGATTCATAATATCCTTATGGTACCTCAAGCTAAGATGTTAACGACAACAAAAATAAATCCTAGCGCTGTTAAACCAAACTCATTGGAAATTCCAGCCAAGCCAAAGTGAAGCCATTCTTTAGGGATGTACCAATAACCCATAGAAGATTCCCATGGGGGGGAAACAAAACCAAAACCAAAAACAGAAACAAAAACAAAAAACAAAAACAAAAACAAAAACCTTTCACCAAGGATAAAACTTATATTAGTAAATTATGAACCACATGAGAAAATACTGTATATATGAAAACAAACTTTGTTATAAATAGAAACAGAAATTGACAGAAACACAACTATCATGGAAGATGTTGTGTTTTGGAGATTAATTAGACAATAATTTATAGAAACATTCACATGATCATATTCTGTACTTTATTTTTTTTAATTAAAAAAATTTTTTTTAACCTTTATTTATTTTTGAGACAGAGAGAGACAGAGCATGAATGGGGGAGGGTCAGAGAGAGAGGGAGACACAGAATCTGAAGCAGGCTCCAGGCTCTGAGCCATCAGCCCAGAGCCCGATGCGGGGCTCGAACTCACAGAACGCAAGATCGTGACGTGAGTTGAAGTCGGACGCTTAACCGACTGAGCCACCCAGGCGCCCCAAGGCTGTACTTCAGAAGATTATTGAAAAATGCTTTTGATTATAAATGTGTATATGAATATTGCATAGCCATTGTCATCATAGTTTGAAAGAATTTAATTCAATGTTAAATGAAATGGTCAGAATGAAAAGCATAGATGGAAAATATCAATTTATTTTCTAAGATATAATATATTAAAATATTTCTAGCTTTAGAATGTTAGGTGATTTCATTGATATCTTCATGCATCTTTTGTATTTCCCAAAATGTCTACAATATGGAAAAAATATTCAAATGATAATACAGCATAGGAGAGCCCTATAACTTTGAGAATTGCACAAACTTTGATATTTCTGGAGTTAAGAATAAGTTTAGAAAATGGGCAGGAGATGAGACTTTAAAGATAATTAAGAATCTCAAGAAAAATTGAGTGAAGTTTTAATAAACTTCTTTGAGATTTCTATGAGAAATCTCTAAGAATTCTAAGCTTAGAAATACTGATCAGGTATGTACTTTCAAAAACTTCTCAGGCTGTACAGTGTAGATTTTTTAAGGTAAAATAAACCAGAAAACCAGGCTACAGTAGTAATAATAGTTAAATTTTATTGGGTGCCTACTATGTGCCAGAGACCATGTGTTGATGACTTTATATAGTCTAGCTCATATCATCTTTGCAACAGCTCTCTCAGGTGAGCTACATGTAACGAAACAGAGGCTAAAGAACTTGCTGAAGATCACTTAGTTCCTAAGTGGTGGAATCAGTATCCCATCTCAGATACTCTAAAACCAGTTCTTGGGCTCTCCCTCACTATGCTATAGGTGATGCCTTTCAAAGAGAAATGTGGCAGAGAGGAGGCAACAGAACAGAAAGAGACAATGGATGGGTCCAAGATATTAATTAACATCTCTGCTTGAGAGATTGGATTTTGAGTAGGAGCTTAAGGAGGGAAGGGAGTTAAGAACAATCCAGGAAAGACAGGTAATTGAAAGCTATATACATGATTTAAAAGTTACTTATATTCCCTAGAGAAAACAGGAAATTCATTTTTTTTAATTTGCAATGAATTTTTGTGTCTTCTCATTATTTGAATGTTGAAATGCAATGAAGCAGAAATAGTTTAGTTCTGATGCATAATGAGAGTAGTATAGAGTGCAGATCATGTATGCCACACACTTTGTGATTTTTTTAATGTTTATTTATTTTTTTTATTTTGAGAGAGAGAGAGAGAGAGAGAATGTGTGCACAAGTGCAAGGGTGCATGATCAGGGGAGGGGCAGAGAGAGAGACAGGGAGAGAGAGAATCCCAAGCAGGCTCTGTGCTCTGAGGGAGAGCCCCACTCTGGGGTCGATCCCAGGAACCATGAAATCATGACCTGAGCTGAAATCAAGAGTTGGATGCTTAACCAACTGAGCCATCCAGGTGCCCCACTTTGTGATATTGAACAAATATTTCTTTTACTGTCCTGATGGAACCCACATTTCTTTACCTGCATATGGGGAGAAAGAGCTACATTGCCTACACAGGGATTTGCTGTTATCTATTCTCATTTCGTCTAGAGCTTTTTAGATTTGTAATAATAGGGGTACATATTGAAAATTTCATTCTAATAGTAAAAAAGAAAGATGTACAATAAGGTAACTGTTCAAATTTATAAATTTTCTGCATTCATAATTAGCTTTAATGTCAAACTGTACCTTCCAGCAAAAGCCCATCTATTTTCACTACCTTTCACTTGTGAGATTATACATTCTTAAGATATTTGGTCCTTATTATTGCTAATGATTTTGGTATTTATAGTTTAAATTTTTGATATAGCATTTCCCATATAAAATGCATGAAGTTAATCTGTGCCAACAAATATTTTCATATTTATAAGGCTTTTCTGTAAACAAAACAAAACAAACACAGTATTACTATCGTGAACTCATTGGGAAATGACATTTTCTGAAGACCTATCCTATTTAGAAAACTAGTAAGCACTAAAATTTACTTCTTGGTGTTCTTAGTACCAAGGGACATACAATATTTGGCTTATCTCAGAAGTCATATTTTCCAAAAGCTTAGGCTTCACTAATAATTATCAAAACTGTTGCAAGTTTTGAAGGACTGACTCCATTATGAAGGTTACCTTGCTATTACTATTGTTCAAACTGGTCCTTTAAAAATTTTTCAAATCTTATGTTCCCTGTTATAGTATTACAACAGTGAGAAAAAAAAATGGTAATAGGCATTGTTGCAACCTAAATGCATTTCAGTTGTGTGGAAAATAATTAACAGTTGAGCTCTGGTAAAAATGACATAGAATCGATTTAGCACTATGAATATATGCCTATAAAATAGTCACTATCCGGTAAATAACAATTGGAATTTTTTTGTGCTTTAGAGAATTAAAGGCATCCAATAATTGCATGAGTTCAGTTTGGCTGCTCAGAGCATGTTCTCCAAGTTAATCTCCTTGGTGAAAGCCATGGGGTCTAAGATCCCCTCATCCGCTTTGCCTCTTCCAAGGCTGTTCCAGTAAGGATCTACGTGATACCTCTCCATTCTACGCCTTTTTTAGTCTTTAGTGTTTTATTTCTATTACCCATGGGAAGTCTTACCATTCTCACAGGTAATAATGATTGTGTCCTTATTCTGGGTGTTAAATTCCTTCTAAGTGTGTTTATGCTGTTTCACAACATAATCTTTGTATCCTTTCATCTGGTAGTGCAACATCAGCCAGCTTCTGATTTCTATTTGCTACAGCAACCAGTCCAGCTGACTGGTGTGGCTGGCCATGCACGCTTGGTTGCACAAGACTGTTCTTGATGAATGTCTAGTCACTCTCAAGCTGCTGAACCCACTCTGAAAAGTTTTAGAGTGGGTCCAGGTGATGTAAGTGTGCTTGTGTGAAAGGAGAGGAGGTACAGAAATGGTCTGTTCCAGGACCATCTTCCCAATCCTCTCCACAGCAAAGAGTACTCCTATTCAATGTCCCAAGGATTTGTATAGCATAGTCAGTTCGAACGAATTTAGCCTTTAGGGCTTTAATAATTTTGAGCCATGTATCTCTTACTCAATTCTACCTCAGTGCTTAACTTGTAGTACCAATTTACTGACAGTGTGGTGACCTACCAAGTTATCTGTGATATTTCCCCCAATTTTGTACTTTGTATATTCTCTTCTTTATTACACGGTGTTTTTACCTTGCGGATGCCCTCAAAATATTTTAAAATCGAGCTTACTATCATCAAACAGAAACTCAAATGAGTTCAAGGCTGGAGAAACCCACATTAAGCATGAAAGTCTGCAGCTGGGACTGAGCAAACTCACCGGCACAAAAACGCATGCGCCCTTCCTTTTATTTACACCCTTTCTTTCTCTTAGGATCTGAACCAGGTGAGAAGCCGGTAAGTGGGGCGTGGGCAGATAGCCCCGCACGCTGAGCGCAGTAAGGAAAACGCGCCACACTTGAGGAGCCGTGGGTACAGTTCCTTTTCTTCTCCGGTTGCGAGTGCTGGGGGCGTCCGCCGCAGGTGCCTCCCGAGCTCCCTGCCCCGGGCGCAGCCGCCGCTGCCGTCCGCTCCCCACCCTCTCGGCGCCGCCGCAGTGCGCGGAGCAGGGCTGGTGCTCTCCGCCCGTGGCCCGGAGGGGCGCGCTCGGGGCCAGCGCCGCTCGCTCCGCATCCCTCTCCTCCAGGCTCCTGGAGCACTCCCATCGCCGTCTGCAGTCCCAGGCCCCGCCATGGGGAATGTGCCATCAGCGGTGAAGCACTGCCTCAGCTACCAGCAGCTTCTCCGGGAGCATCTCTGGATCGGGGATTCAGTGGCTGGGGCACTTGACCCTGCGCAGGTACTACCTCGCGGCCCAGGGTGTCCCCACCCTTTTGCACACTGCCAGCTGATCTCTGTCCCTGTTATGTAGCCACCGCACCCTAGGGCCCTTCCAGCAGCGGTCCCGTTTTGTTAGGCCTCACCTCTTGAAAGATTCCCCATCATCTCTGTGCTGTGAACATGTAGACCCGCCTCTATAGCTCAGATCCAGCAAGATCCCTACCTGTGGCCTTCTCCTGGTCCCCCAAAAGAAACTGTTTCTTTTCTGTTTTTCCCCTTGGAGGGGACCCATTATATAATCTTATCTGCAGGCATTCCTCCAGGGACAGTGCCTTTGTTTTCACTTCCTTTCCTGTACTGTGGAACAAAGAGGACACATTTGTCAAAATTGTGGCAGAAAAAGGAATGAAGCCAACATACAAGGCGAGGATAAAATGGTAGAATGAAATTATCTGTCGTACCAGTAATTATCCCCCAATTTATGCTTGAACACACTTGAATAAGCTTGAAAAAAACATTGTAAATAACAGCAATTTCAACCCAAAATTTATTTCTATGTGATTCCTGAATACCTATTTTGAGACAACAGGCAACTTAATAGTATCCACATGTTTGCAGCCTAATGCAATCTCAAATGGCAGGTGAAAAAGAAATACATATTTGCTTTTCCTTTAAAAGAGGTCAAAATGTAAAATTTTGCAAGTAGTGACATTGATCATTGTTTATATGAATGTTAAACCATGGACAAAGGAAGGAACAGTATAATGGTTTAGCTCTTTTTTGTTTTGCTGAATGCAAAATGTTTATTCCTGGTTCATCTTGTAAACAGAATAATAACTTGGGTTAATTATTTTAGTAGGTAAACATTTTACTATGTGGCTTTAAATCAACTATTCTAATACTGGGTATCCCTTTTCCTGTAGTTTTACATTTAGTGTATTCTCCATTTAGTGTATCCTTATGTGAAATTGTAATCTTGTTTCTACAAATCAGAATTCAGCATTTGTGGATTCCTTCAGAATCAATCAGAAGATACATTGCTTCTGATTACTTAAAAGATGGCCACAGTCATCTGGTTCAAAGCCTGTTGCTGAGAATTCACAAAAGAGAAAGTTATTCTTCTTGTATGTTTACATGTCTATTTAATTTTTCTGCATTCTAATTTGATTTTTATCTATTGTAACTGTTAACTTTCATATTCCGTCTGTTATATAATAAGGAATCCTTAATTTTTATTCCCTAACTCTGAGACTTTACATGACTTTTGTTGCTATGTTAACATTGTATTTCTCTCCCTTACGTTCTAATTTTGTGGGGGCAATGATGGAGGCTAGGCTGCTACCTGCGCATGTCTACTTTGCCCTGTTAATATGTGGAAACAGGTAATTGAAAATGACTAGCAGTATGAGAAACAGCTATATGCTCTCTAAATATTGCCCTTTTATCCCCTGACTGCTTTGCCTGGGAAACTCCTATTCATTTTTCAAACACAGCTTAAATGTCGCTTCCTTTGACCAACTCTTTGCCCTGTCTACAGTTGAAGCCCCATTTCTGTGCTCTCATGGCACTTCATGTATAATTATGTTTTAGTCCCAATCTTGTTGAATTGTAATTTTTAAATCTTATTTGAACTCACAGCACCATTGACACCTGGTACCTGACACCTGACACTTCACTCATTGCAATTGATCTCCTCCCTTGGCATCTGTTTAACAACACCTGTAACTGCTTTAAGGCCTACCTCTGTGGTTCCTAAATCTGGAACCAGCCTGACTTAGTGGCCTCTACCAGTCTGGGAAATGATCAGTTCCTCATGACTTCTTACCACACTCAAAGTTTCAGTTACTATTTATATTGTGTGTGTGTGTGTGTGTGTGTGTGTATAGTGTATTTATTTATCCAGATTTATTTCCCCATCTCCCTCTTAGACTCCAGTCCTCACGTTCAACTGCTCATTTGACATCATCATTTTCAAATTGGAAAAGGAAGTCAGACTCAGCATTTCCAAAACTAGATTTGTGTTCTCCCTCCCTAATCTCCAGAACTTCTCCAGTATTTCCTAAGAACCCCATTACAGTTCATTCCTTTCTATAAACCACAAACCAAGAGCTCTTTATTTTCATTTCCTACATCCAAAGTATCACTAAGTCCTGCAATTTTATGTCTTGACTTTCTCTCAAATCCATCTATATTTTTCCAACTTTACTGCTGCTACCAATTTTAAAATGGCATTATCTCTCGTGGACTATTAACGAGTGAGGTTTCTTCAATCCACTGTTTGTATGGCTAGTTGGGAGACGTTCTCTACTTCAAATAGAATCCTGCTGTTCCCCCATTTTACAGCCTTCTATGGATGTCCATTACTATTAGGAATGAATACCACAACTTTTAAAGTGTCTCCGAAGCTTCAAATGGTATTTTCTTTGCATCTCTTTGCAACACCATCTAGAGGTATTCTTTTGTTCTTGCCACAGTGGCCTTCTTTGAATTCTTAATGTTTCTTCTGGAACCGCGATCTTTGATCGGTCTCTCTTCTGCTGGGAAGATTCTTTTCAGCGAATTAACTTCTCTTCACCCTTCAGATCTTCACTCAAATATTGTGTTCCCATGAAATCTTGCCAAGACTCTTAAGATAGGCAACCCTTGCTATCCTATATTGCTTAGTGCACAATTCATCATATATAATATGAATTGTATATTTATTTCTGTGATTATTTGATGTTTAGTTCCCTACCAGATTCAAAGCATCATAAAAGTAAGGGAAACATATACCATTCTCAGCAAGTAACAGAATGGTTAGTTTTTAATGGCCAGTAAATACTTCTTGAATGAACAAATGAATGGATGTTTTTCATATGCTTATGCGGACCATGAAATACTTGTTAGCACTTGCCAGGTCAATGATGGATACATCACAGTTCAATGATAAATATTAGTTAAATGAATGCTAATGTTAGGAGAATGAATACTTGGTGACAATACAGTTTGGTCTTAGTGATAGAAGACGGTTATTACTCTGTTTGGGTCTTACCTCTTCATCTCATAGAGGCTACTCAGGTTTGATGGGGAGGAGACTTGAAAATGGATTCTGGGGTTTGTGCAGAGACAGCAGAATGCTTAATCATTTGTTCACCATAAAATCTGGCAGACAGAATGATGAGCAGGGCCCCTGTGATTTGAAACAATTTGATAACAGTTGGGACACATAGAATGTTGTGTTTTGAAAGAATCCGCGCTAGGCAATAGAAGATTGGAAACCTAGATCTTTTTCTGCTACCAAGTCATTCTGTGATTTTGTGTAGGCGATATCCTGGCTAGATCTTAAAATTTCCATTTACACATGAGTGGTAATATATCCCTGATAAATTATTAGGATTAAAAATAAATAGTGTGTGTATGTGTAAGTATACATACATCGGAAGTTTCACAATTTATTATCAAATACAAAATGGGTCATTGTAAATGAAAGGCTTACTGTACCACAGCTCCACTAATTAAATTCTTTGAGTTTCTAATATTTTGCTAATGGTGCTGGTTTTACAGAAGACTTTCAATAGATGAGGCTGTTAAAATAGATCATTCTATGGTTCAAGGTATCTCTTAAGGCCTGTTTGATTTCCTATGTGTGTCTCTTAAAATGGGTATGAATAAACTGGCTTAATTGGTATGTTTCAAGGTTTTAATTCAATGTGATCAAATGTAACCTGGGAAAGCAATTCCTTTTTGATTTCCAAGTGCTACATAAGCAGTATCTAAATTTCTTCTTATTTATTTTTTGAAAGTTTATTTATTTTGAGAGAGAGAGTGTCAGAGTCAGGCGTGGTGGGGCAGAGAGAGAAGGAGGGAGAGAGCATCCCAAGAAGCTCTGCAGTGTCAGTGCAGAGCCCGATGCAGGGCTAGAACTCCCAAAGAGTGAGATCATGACCTGCACTGAAGTCAGACCCTTAACACTGAGCCACCCAGGTGCCTCAGTTTCTTCATATGTTAATAACCCATGTGACAATAAAATTCTGAACAATCTAAATTCTAATTCAAATGATTTTAAATGTATTAGATGCATAAAAGCAAAATTGTAGATTATGTGACATTAACTTTATAGTTATTGTACATCATATCCTGATTCCTTTAAGTTACATTGGCTCTCTGCAAAAATTGTGATTCAAAGAAAGGATTTGGTGTTCAAATTTCTCTAGAATTTTAAACTGAATATATTTGTTTAAATTTAATCAGAGGATAATGTGACTGTATGCTTTTTAGTTTGCATCTATGCAGTTGTTAGCACATTTACTAAATATCTTAGGACTAGGGAGGAATTTTCAGAAGAGAAAAAAGTACCATTTCACTTTTTTTTATTTGTCTCAAGTGTTTTTTTCCCTCTTTTTTCCCTTTCATTTTGACTCCTTCCCCCTTTTTCTCCTCTTATAGCTTCTTTTGAAATGACCTATTATTATTATTAATTTTCCCCCTGCAATAGCTTGTTAATTATATACTGTTTTTCTATACTCTTAGCTGCTATCTATAAGATACCAACACACATCCTGGGATTATTAAATTTTTTTTTTATGTTTGAGAGAGAGGGAGAGACAGAGCGTGAGCAGGGGAGGAGCAGAGAGAGAGAGAGGGAGACACAGAGTCCGAAGCAGGCTCCAGGCTCTGAGCTTTCAGCACAGAGCCCAATGTGGGGCTTGAACCCACAAACGGTGAGATCATGAGCTGAGGTCGTATGCTCAGCCGACTGAGCCACCCAGGTGCCCCAATACAGTATTATTAACTATAGTTGCTATGCTTACATTAGATTCACAGAACTTACTTATAGCTGGATATTTGTATAGAGTAACAACTTAAAGTTCAAAAAGAAAAAAGGAATAAAAAGATGATCGGATGCTTCAGGAAAAAATAATACTTTATGGAAAAATAGACTATTCTAATGGTTTTCACTATAAATAAAAATTATGAAAGATTTTATTTTTGAGACAGAGACAGAGCATGAACGGGGGAGGGTCAGAGAGAGAGGGAGAC